TAATTTTTGGAATGAATTGAGCCTAATCTGCGTATTAGTTCAAATCGAACCAAAATAGAGTGATTATTTTATTACCATTTGTGATTATTTTTCATTAGAAAATTAGTGTCGAAATGATAGTAGAAAAAATAAAAGAGAGGGAAAGTATTGTTTTACCTTTTCCAAGTCTTCTCTCTCTAATTTTGTCAATCCACCGTTCAACGTGACGATGGAGAGAGAGAAAGAGAAGCCGACCCGTCGTTCAAATCCTTCTCACCGATCGTTCCTCAAGATTAACCCCAAACCTGCGTTTTTTAGGGTTTTACATTCTCCAATTCGATTTCTCTATTTCCTCACAACATGTCGCTGCCGGATTCTCTCCCGTCGTCTTCCTCTTCCCCTCCGGTGATCCGCGAAGAATCAGGGTATAGTCATTTCGAACACAGACGCGATAGCGGTTTTGATCATCGTGATCGACCTCCATGGAATCGCTCTGAGTACGATTACCGCCATGGGAGCATTGTTGCGTCGGAGAACACGAGGAACAATTCGAATTCGGAAGATCCTTGGTCTTGCGTTGTCGTCGTCGCTACCTTCTGTGTCTTCGGTGAGATTTGGAGGTTTTTTTTTTTAATTGATGCTGCGTTTTCCTTGTGTATGTGAATGTTTTTGATTGTTGATCTTGTGTTTGTTGTTACTGAATTTGATTGATTCAGTGTCGATGACTTTGATTCTGGGGCTTTATGGAACAACGAATGTATGGTTGGGACCAAATTCATCGTTTCTTATCAAGCCAACTTCAGTGTTCGTCCAAACTGTGATTGTATGTTCTCTCCTCTCTTGCATTAAGATCCACCATTGTTGAATTTTCTGAAGCAACGTTTGTCGGTTTTTCTCTTCAAGGTGGAAGAATTAGGGAACAAGGGATCTGGTATGATGCTGTACGGTTTGAACGAAGCACCACAGCTGGATGTTCTTGCTAATTGGTCCGAAGTGCACTATTTAGCTGTGCCAAATGATTCTTACAAGGTCAGTTCTCTCTCGGTGTTCTTTACCTTCGTCATCGAGAACTCGCTACGAATCATCGGGGACTGATGCGGTTTTTTATTTTACTATTTTTATTCAGTATTGGATACAGTATTTGAACAAGGGGTCACGTCTAAAAGTTTCATACAATGTTGAATCTGTGGGCTCTTCCCTCTATCTTGTGATAGCCCAAGGTACTTTTTCTTGTGGATAACTACTCATTAAGATAGATAGTTGCTTTTGGTGCTTTCTTATATTATCATTACAAGAATATTTTGATTGAGTTTGGTGATGTTTTGGGTTCCACTGAGAAAAGTACTGCTGTAATAATCACCTTGATTGTTGTATTCTGACCATAAGGAATGTCCTGCACAAACCGAATTTATTAACATTATATGGTTGAATCAATTGGATTGACCAGTTTCCCGCTAGAGTAATATTTTGTCCTACACTGAAATAATACCCTACCTACAGTGTCTTTATTGTTGTAGTTTGCTCCTTTCCCTGAATTGATGTTGAAATTTCTTGTTGTATGCGGGAATGTTATTGGCTGTTAAGAAAAAATAGCTGTTTAGTAATTCAGCTTTTTATGGATTTATAATTGAAGGTGTGGATGGGCTCTCTGAGTGGGTACAAGACCCTGCGCGTCCAGACACTACATTGTCATGGCATATAATCTCGGGTAAGTGACCAAGGTTTTAAGTAAGCATGATAGGTTTATATTCTGAAAATTCATGGGGTCACTCACACTCTACGTATCTTTTTTTTGACAGATAGTGGTTACATTGAGCAGGACATAACTAAGTCGTCGAGTTATTATGTTGCAGTTGGCAATGTATACCTGAATCAAGTGATGGTAAAAGCTGAAGCAGTTTATGATTATATATGCTTAAAATATAATTTCTGGAGTAACTTTTCTCCTATTAAATGTGAAGTTGAAACAGGACCTTCGGTTTCTAGTACTGCACTACGATAATACATTGTCCCTTTCTAATCCCAAGTAGCTTTCTTTTTGTCTGATTATAAATCACTCTCACACCATATCTACGTTGTTCAGGCTACAATCGACATTCAAGTTGAGGCGGTATTGTATGATACTACAAATGCTTATTACAATTGCACTTTCTCCAAGGACAAGTGCACTCTAAGTGTTCCATTATTTGGAACTAATGCTGCTGTACTAACCTCACCAGGCCCAAAGCTGGTATGCGACCAATTTCTTGTCTTGCTTTATCACTTTTCGCTACAAAGGCTTCATAGATCAATACAAGATAGTTCACATTGTTATGCTATACCAGAAGATATCTCACAAACCATTCTGTATCCAACTCTCTTGTTGTTCAGAACAATTCTAAGAATGAGTTCTGCGCAAAGCTCTCTTACGAGCCAAGGTGGATCGCATACATAATTTGCATGGGTAATGCTTTGTTTTTACATGAGTCATATTATCCGGTCTCGTCGTTGGATTTTATCATAAATTCTTCGTTTTTCCCCTTGGCTTTTTATTACAGGTGTAGTGACAGTACTCTTGTTAATTGTCTCTAGTCTCTTTAATAAAAGACAACCAGTCTCTGAAGACGAGACCATTGATGAAAATGATGATGTAGCTCCTCTTATTCCAGGCAAAGACGATGATAACTCGAGCTGGTGCTCGTCCTACAGTTCTATCTTGACAAGTACTGAGGAATTGGAAGGTGGACACGGTGAAGCCTACAGTAGTACAAGATTCCTCTGTGCTATTTGCTGTGATGCGCCTAGAGACTGTTTCTTCCTCTCTTGTGGACACTGCGTCGCTTGCTTCCAATGTGGGACACGGTAATACATAACCCACACCATCCTTTTCTTCTTGTATTTCCTGCTTATGATGCAAGAATGAACATTCAAAAATTGGATGTTACGATACGCAGGATAACTGAAACGACGGGATTATGTCCGGTATGTCGTAGGAAGATCAGGAAGGTGAAGAGGATCTTTAACGTCTAACATGTCGTCGAAATCCAGAACATGCAGTGCACATTGTGTTTCTCTCGCATTAACCGTATTTGTATAGATGTAAAGACAAAAAGTGTGGGGATGGAGAAAAGCCAAAAGGTTTCTTTATCTTTTCTCAGCAGCTGGTGTGTGTTGCTACTGTGTATGTGTAAATGAAATGATGTGGACTCTGGAGATTCGTTTGGTTTTACTTGCAAGTTGTAACCATATTCCAGTGACTCCGGTTCATCTGGTTTTTTATGTTTCCGGTTCCATACCCCCGGTTTAAGTGTTTGGTTTGCACTTCCCATTATTGTTTCTACGTTCCATATTTATACTGTTTTTAATTTTTTCTTGTATGTGAAGAACGCCAGTCTGTGACAGTGTGTTTATAGATTTTCTTCGTGTAGTACTAAAACAATTTAGCAAATTTTTGGCGAAATTAAAATGAAAATCACATTAGCATACAATTATTTTGATTACCCATACTTTGGTATGTTAGTAACATCGGTTTGCAAAAAGATTACCACGTGTCATTTGATGAATGGTGAGGACACATAATTTCATAGTTCCCAAATACACTATAACATTCTCCGTTCGGGCTCTCTCTCAGAGGATCAGAATTCTGATTTCTGGCAAACAAATTC